GTTTTAGAACCGATTACCGGTTTTTAGCAACCCCTCGTGTGTGGCTGCGAGACAACAGCCAATAAAGTGTCAACAATTGGCGCCCTCGAGCATCTAAGCGCGACATTAAGGGGCAGGCAAGGCAACTCACCACCAAACATGGAACCCCTCCACTACCTCTCCTCCTGTGGACATTTATTCGTAAGAACATTCATTAGGACATTTAGCCCTCCCCCCCACTCCCCTTTTTTACTCCTACAGGGCTATCAGAGCTTAGGAAGCCACCAGAGATGTAGAGTATATTGAAATAGTTTATTGAAACATGCGGTTTAAATAGCTTTCCATTTGCACTGTAATCCGTAATGTGTCGGGCTGGTGTCAACCCCCCTTTCATATCCTCTGCGTTGTGTACCTGAATCGTCTTGCTAACACAAACAAACACTTTGAGAAAGAAAAAAAAACAATCGATTTCATTGATGTTGTTGTTGAAGTTACGCTAAATCGGTTTCGCGTAACACGGACACGCTCCGCGCATCATCTCACAACTACTGCCTCGCGGCCCCTTCGCAACGCCTCTCGGGAATGTTCAGTGTCCGAGCGCCCCGTGGCGAGACCCATCGCGACCTCTGGACGTACACAGGCAAAGAAAGGTCCACACGTTGTAGCCTTGACAGACCCCGGGCTATGAAGTGCGGAACGGGTGGCCAACACCGCGCCCGGCCGCCCGTCTTTGTGTCTCCGCCGCGGCGATGTTGACACGTCGCGGCGGGTACGAATTCGAGGCCGAGTCGCCCTCGGGGAGGGCCAAAAAAGAGCCGGGTTCAGATAATCGCCACTCGTGTTGGCCGTGAGGGGGAATCGAACTGGGGTCGCGGGGTTCGTAGGCGCAGCGCGCTCACCGCGACACTACCGCTCCCCACACGCATGGACACGCACGTGCACAGACGGGTCCTGCTGTACTGACGACGTCAACCCTACCTCGCCCTCTCATCATCAACATCGTCATCTATCCCCATCATCATCATCATGAACCACACCCATCCTCTGACCATCATCATCACCATAATCCAACGTCAACTCGTCCTCGCCCTCTCATCATTATCATCCTCTCGCCATCATCACCATCGTCATCATCCATTCTCTCCATCGTCATCATCATCATCATCCAATATGAAGCAAATCCCACCCATCCACTGATCATCCATCCTTCCTCTCCAGTGGACAATACATTGAAGAAAGTCTCGCTACAGGCCTCAATATTTTCCTGAACTAGGCCAGTCGGCCGAAACGTTGAGATCTCTCCTCCTCTTCCCAGGTGACAGCCAAAACCCCCACTCGCCGTGCGAGTAGTGAACCCGTCACGCGTTGCAGATACTCCTCGCACGCTCCGAGGCAACCGCGCATCCGACGCCTGCCGTGTGCTCAAGACACAGCGTTACAGACGGCATGAAGAGCCGCTGAACTCGGAGCACAATGAAACGACGCGGCCTTCGATTTGTCATTACTCAGAATCTACAAACAAAAATAGTTTTGTTTTCAATTTTAGTCCGTCCCCCCGCACCACATACCCCGCCACCCTCCAATTAAAAAAAATTAGTCCGACCCCCCCCCCCCCCATCCACGTCGCCCCTCCGCCACACACCTCCAAAAGAAAAATGTTGATCTCTCATAGCGTAGAGTGAGCCTCCAGTTGTACATTAACATAGGGACACGTGATAAGCATTGGACACGTGGTAAGCATTGGACACGTGCATGCGATTTAAACCCCGTCACCGATTAACCGAGTCGTTCGCCTCTCTCGCATCGGAGAGCCTGGCTCTACAATGAGGATGCTTTCGTTGTATTTGTATGTGCTTGGGTGAATTAGTTTTACCTTTCTTGTACTATTTGCACGATTATCGTGGGGTTTTTTCGTATTGCTTGTTGTTGTTACGTTCTTACCGTGCCCCGACTGGACATATGTCGGAACAAAGAGCTTTATAGCTCATCGGATTCCTCCTGCAGTATAAATACACAATCTCATTCTCTGCGCCGCTCATCTCACGCCGCACGAGTTCCCTCCCACACGAGGCCTGTTTTTGTTCGTCGGAGATCATTGGTGCCCGCGCCATAGGAATGTGGAATTTCCCAGCAGCGGCTCTGGATAGGCCGTGTGAGGAGTGGTGAGGGGTGGGGTGGAAGAGGGGACACCACGCACAGTCCACGTCGTGGCGATCATCTCCGTGGTGGGGGGGGGGGGAAGGAAACCAGTGGAGAAATTTCATTGCCATGGCGGGAGACCGTATCGTCAAAGGAGAGGAAATGGTTGGGACGAGTCGGCTGCTCGAGAGAGCGAGAAGAGCAGCAGCGACGGCGAATTTATCTCCCGCTCTCCCTGCCTCACCTCCCCAGTGTCCCCGTCTCCCGCTCTCCCTGTCTCACTACCCCAGTGTCCCCGTCTCCCACTCTCCCTGTCTCACCTCCCCAGTGTCACCGTCTCCCGCTCTCCCTGTCTCACTACCCCAGTGTCCCCGTCTCCCACTCTCCCTGTCTCACCTCCCCAGTGTCACCGTCTCCCGCTCTCCCTGTCTCACTACCCCAGTGTCCCCGTCTCCCACTGTTCCTGTCTCACTTCCCCAGTGTCCCCGTCTCCCACTCTCTCTGTCTCACTACCCCAGTGTCCCCGTCTCCCACTCTCCCTGTCTCACTACCCCAATGTCCCCGTCTCCCACTCTCCCTGTCTCACTACCCCAGTGTCCCCGTCTCCCGCTCTCCCTGCCTCACCTCCCCAGTGTCCCCGTCTCCCGCTCTCCCTGTCTCACTACCCCAGTGTCCCCGTCTCCCACTCTCCCTGTCTCACCTCCCCAGTGTCCCCGTCTCCCACTCTCCCTGTCTCACTACCCCAGTGTCCCCGTCTCCCACTCTCCCTGTCTCACCTCCCCAGTGTCCACGTCTCCCACTCTCCCTGTCTCACTACCCCAGTGTCCCCGTCTCCCACTCTCCCTGTCTCACTACCCCAGTGTCCCCGTCTCCCACTCTCCCTGTCTCACCTCCCCAGTGTCCCCGTCTCCCACTCTCCCTGCCTCACCTCCCCAGTGTCCCCGTCTCCCACTCTCCCTGTCTCACTACCCCAGTGTCCCCGTCTCCCACTGTCCCTGTCTCACTACCCCAGTGTCCCCGTCTCTCACTCTCCCTGTCTCACCTCCCCAGTGTCCCCGTCTCCCGCTCTCCCTGTCTCACTACCCCAGTGTCCCCGTCTCCCACTCTCCCTGTCTCACTACCCCAGTGTCCCCGTCTCTCACTCTGCCTGTCTCACCTCCCCAGTGTCTTCGTCTCCCACTGTCCCTGCCTCACCTCCCCAGTGTCCCCGTCTCTCACTCTCCCTGCCTCACCTCCCCAGTGTCCCCGTCTCCCACTCTCCCTGCCTCACCTCCCCAGTGTCTCCGTCTCCCACTTACCCTGTCTCATTTCCCCAGTGTCCCCGTCTCTCACTTTTCCTGTCTCACCTCCCCAGTGTCCCCGTCTCCCGCTCTCCCTGCCTCACCTCCCCAGTGTCTCCGTCTCCCACTCTCCCTGTCCCACCTCCCCAGTGTCTCCGTCTCCCACTCTCCCTGTCTCACTACCCCAGTGTCCCCGTCTCCCACTCTCCCTGTCTCACTACCCCAGTGTCTCCGTCTCCCACTCTCCCTGTCTCACTACCCCAGTGTCTCCGTCTCCCACTCTCCCTGTCCCACCTCCCCAGTGTCTCCGTCTCCCACTCTCCCTGTCTCACTACCCCAGTGTCCCCGTCTCCCACTCTCCCTGTCTCACTACCCCAGTGTCTCCGTCTCCCACTCTCCCTGTCTCACTACCCCAGTGTCTCCGTCTCCCACTCTCCCTGTCTCACCTCCCCAGTGTCCCCGTCTCCCACTCTCCCTGTCTCACTTCCCCAGTGTCCCCGTCTCCCACCCTCCCTGTGCCTCTGTCTCCCTGTCTCTCAGTGTCCCCGTCTCCCGCTCTCCCTGTGCCTCTGTCTCTAAGTATCCCCAGCCTCCTCGTGCTTTGCTCTCCTCCCCCTCTCCTCATCCTCCTCCCCCCCCCCTCCCATTCCCGCGGTCTCCCCGTTGTCTCCATCTCTACGCCGGGCGATGTCCCGCAAAGTGGTACTCGCTTTATCGCCCCTGGTGGAGAGAGCAGATCCACACAACCCGGGCCCAGTTCCGTGGGTACCCCAAGACCCCAACCCCCAGAACCCTTGCACGAGACACGAGACCCCTGTTCCCTCGAGGGCTCCAGAACTCCGAATAGGTCAACCCCCTCTGTTCTGTGTATGTGGGGAGAGGGGGGATGGTTCGAGATAAAACAATCGCGTTACGGTGCCTGCCTTGTCTCGTTAGAGGCAACCCCTGTAGCGTGACCGTGCTTTAAGGGGGGGGGGGGATGGATGCGGGGGAGGGGACATATCAATATATAAATAAAACTCACAAGCGGGATGGTGGGGGGCGGTACGACACGGTCGATGTTAAACAAACTTTACACAAACGTTCAACCAGAAACGGAACGAGCAGCGACGCGATGTCTTCCCGCGTCTGTCGCGCATTTCTCTCCAGATTTCACCCCCCCCCCCCCTCCGTGTAAATTTATATCAACAACAACTCCGACTTGGCTGTACAAAATTAAAAGTGGGGCCAAGCCTCCCAGCAGTGGGTGGGGGGCGGTAAGGGGTAGAGACCCTAATCGAGCCTCCCTCGATATCTCTCTGCCCACGTGCCCTCCAACCCCCCCCCCAACGCGCACCCATACCGAGCAATGCCCCCTCTTTCGTGCCCCCCCAACCCAACTCCACAACATATAGCCCCCCCTCCCCCAACACGAGCCATGCCCCCCACTCCCGTAACCACCGCCGCCCCCCCCCCCCCCCACCGATTCCAAACCCACAGCGTCCGTTCCACCACTTCCCCAACACGGGCCATGCCCCCCAACTCCGATGCCCTCCCCCCTCTCCTACCACGACCACCACCAGCACCACCACCCAGCCAGCCCCACGTGCTGCTGCTGCTCACCGGTACCACTCGAGGCCCCGGTCGTAGTTGCGATCGAAGAAGTGCGGCTCGGCGCCCACGGCACGGACGTCGGGGTGCACGCGGATGAACTCGAGCAGGGCGCGCGTGCCCCCCTTCTTCACGCCGATGATGATGGCGTCAGGGAGCTTCTTCGTCCCGAAGCTACTGAAGCTGCTGCTGCTGCTGCCGCCGCCGCTGCTGCCGTTGATGAGGCTGGGCGCCGGAGCTGGTGCAGGACGCGTGGCGGCGCCCAGCGCTTGCGCTTCCTCTTTGTTGATGTTGTTGGCGATGTTCCTCTTCCTATTCTTCCTATCCTCCACCTCTTCGTCCAATAACACCTCTTCAGCACCAGCACCACCACCGCCTCCTCCACCTCCTCCTCCATCACCACCGCCACCATCATCATCGTCATTGCCCGCCGAGCCTGCGGATTCCCGCACGCCCCACCTCGTGTTAGGGTCTTCGAGGAGCTGCTGATGCCGATGCTGCTGCTGCTGCTGCTGATTCTGCTGATGCTGCAACAGCAGCAGCTGAGATACATCCCCCGTCGTCTGCTGCTGCTGCTGCTTCTGCTGATCTCGGCGTTCGTGTAAGCGCAGCTGAGTGCGCTCGTAGCTCTCCTCCCCGGTGTCTCCCCCCTCCGGGAGCGCTCCTCCGGGCTGCAGGGGCGGGCAGCAGCAGCAGGCGAGGCAGTAGAAGAGGTACGCGGGCAGCAGGAGGAGCAGCATGCTGGAGGCGCAGGCGAGCAGGGTCCGGCGAATCTTGACGTGCGGGAGAGCCGCGCTAGGAGCCTCCATGCTGCCCTGTAGGGGTGCCGGGGACCAGGCGGTGGCGAGGGTGGCCCCGGGCAGCCGAGGGGCAGCGGGGCATGGCGCTGCCCCCGCCGGCGAAAGGCACCGGCCGCATGCGGCCTCGCGGACGCGCGGGCAGTCCCGGGGTGTGATCGCGATACGATTTTGCTGCACGGTCGTGGTGGTGGTGGTGTTGTTGGTAGTGTTACTGCTATCGTACTGTGCGTGTGTGTAGTGCTGCTAGTAGTACGAGTCGTCGCACACGGAGCGTGCTGTCGTAGTTGTTTCAAGTGCGATGGTGGTGGTGATTACGCGGTGGTCTCGATTGGTGCTTGCTACTGCGCGATAACAATGATGATGATGATGACGACGACGATATTATTTTATTTTTGTATAACGCGACGATTGCAGCGATTGTCGTGAATCGTACGTGACGGACGCGAGCGAGGGGGGTTGCGACATCGCAGCGCGGCGAAAGACGGCGATGAGCGTGGGGAGGAGGAGGAGCACGAGAAGGAGGCCTTCATCCAGCAGTGGATAGACCCTGGCTCATGACGACGACGCCACGCACGCAACCCCTCTCGCAGGCGAACCAGTCCCGCCGACTCGCCACCAGCCGCGCGCCGCTCTGCACGGAACTCCAGTGGGTGAGTGGAGGGGGGAGTGCCGCTCTTAAGTAGAGGACATCGAGGCGTAGGAGGAGGCGGGAGATGTTAGAGGAGGGAGATTCAGGAGGAGGAGGAGGAGGGAGATGTGGTAGCAGGAGGAGGAGGGAGATGTGGTAGCAGGAGGAGGAGGAGGAGGGAGATGCGTGGTAGCAGGAGGAGGAGGGAGATATGGTAGCAGTAGCAGGAGGAGGAGGAGCGCAGCACCGAACAGCGACCGCATCCATCAACGCCCCGGTCCCAGCCGGCGTCGTCTTTGCCGGGCATCGCAGCCCGCCGCCCTCCCCATCCCCTCGCCCGCTGATGACGGCGGGGGTCTTGGGGTCCGCGTGGGGTGCAGGGGTGTGGGGGGGGTGGGGGTCCCCAGATCCCCGTGCCTACGAGGGGGTGTCCCTCCCTCCCTCCCTCGCTCCCTCCCTCGCTCCTGTCACTCGACGCGCTGGTTCGGGGGAAGTTGGGTGGAGGGGTGGAGGAAGGGGGGGGGTTAGGGGGGGGGTGGAGGAGGGGGTTAGGGGGGGGAGGCGGGGGGAGGGGGGATTCGATCTCGTCTCGATTCCGGATCAGGATCTGCTCGTTGTGTATGCGAAGGATGCGATGCATGTGAGAAGCTGCAACGGGGGCAGCACCTGCAGCTACAGCAGCACCTGCAGCTACAGCAGCACCTGCAGCTACAGCAGCACCTGCAGCTACAGCAGCACCTGCAGCTACAGCAGCACCTGCAGCTACAGCAGCACCCGCAGCTAGCTACGGCACCAGCACCGCCACCAGCACCGCCACCAGCAGCAGAAGTAGCGGCAACAGGGGCAGCACCTGCAGCTACAGCAGCAGCTACAGCACCGCCAACAACAGCAGCAGTAGCAGCGGCAGCAACAGAGAGCCGAGATCGGAGACGGCGGCTGCTCTTGCCGAGAGCGCGTTGAGCGCGCGCGGAGAGTGCGGAGAGCGCGCGAGTGAGCGGAGAGCGATGTGCGGTGAGAGGGCGTGCGGAGTGAGAGAGCGGAGAGCGTGCGAAGTGAGAGAGTGGAGAGCGTGCGGAGTGAGAGAGCGTGCGGAGTGAGAGAGCGTGCGGAGTGAGAGAGCGGAGAGCGTGCGGAGTGAGAGAGCGGAGAGCGTGCGGAGTGAGAGAGCGGAGAGCGTGCGGAGTGAGAGAGCGGAGAGCGTGCGGAGTGAGGGAGCGTGCGGAATGAGGAAGCGTGCGGAGTGAGGGAGCGTGCGGAGTGAGGGAGCGTGCGGAGTGAGAGAGCGGAGAGCGTGCGGAGTGAGAGAGCAGAGAGCGTGCGGAGTGAGGGAGCGTGCGGAGTGAGAGAGCGTGCGGAGTGAGGGAGCGTGCGGAGTGAGAGAGTGGAGAGCGTGCGGAGTGAGGGAGCGGAGAGCGTGCGGAGTGAGAGAGCGTGCGGAGTGAGAGTGCGTGCGGAGTGAGAGAGCGTGCGGAGTGAGAGAGTGGAGAGCGTGCGGAGTGAGAGAGCGTGCGGAGTGAGAGAGCGGAGAGCGTGTGGAGTGAGAGAGCGTGCGGAGTAAGGGAGCGTGCGGAGTGAGAGAGCGTGCGGAGTGAGAGAGTGGAGAGCGTGCGGAGTGAGAGGCGTGCGGAGTGAGAGAGTGGAGAGCGTGCGGAGTGAGGGAGCGTGCGGAGTGAGAGAGCGTGCGGAGTGAGAGAGCGTGCGGAGTGAGAGAGCGGAGAGCGCGGCACGGTGAGTGTGGACGCGCGCGCTGCGTATGGCGTCACGACTCCGGGCTCGAGGGGAGGGGTGAACGCGTGCGGCTGTTGTGTGTGTGTAGGTGTGTGTAGGTGTGTGTGTGTAGGTGTGTGTGTGTGTAGGTGTGTGTGTGTGTGTAGGTGTGTGTGTAGGTGTGTGTGTAGGTGTGTGTGTGTGTAGGTGTCTGTGTAAATTGATCGTCACGTCGTGGGGAGCGGTTAGCGCGCTGCGCTACGAACCCAGCGACCCGAGTTCAATTCCCGCTGACGGCCAACACCAGTGACGATTATCTGAACCGGTCTTGGGCCTCCCATAGGTCGACTCAGCCCCAATTGAGTACCTAGTGCTATATGTAAAAAAAACACATTGCTACTAGGGAGACAAAGGCGGCCGGGCGTGGTGTTGCCCACCCACCCTCTGGTGTGCCGTGCCGGCCTTCATAGGTGCTCGCTAACAGCACTTGCCTCAACAGTCTGTCAAGGCTATACGGGGGATGTTTGTTTGGTGTGATAGTGTACGGGTGGTGCATGGTTGTGGGGTCTGTGTGTGTAACCGTGTGGCAGAGTAGTGTGTGAGAATGTGGGAGGGTGTGAGTGTGTGAAATTGAGGTCTGTGAGTGTGTGAAATGTAGTGTGGGTATGAGTGTGTGTGAAATGGAGTGTGAATGTGAGTGTGTGAAATGGAGTGTGAGTATGAGTGTGTGTGAAATGGAGTATGAGTGTGTGAGTGTGTGAAATGGAGTGTGAGTATGAGCGTGTGTGTGAAATAGAGTGTGTGTATGAGTGAGTGTGTGAAATGGAGTGTGAGTATGAGTGTGTGAAATGGAGTGTGTGAGTATGAGCGTGCGGAAATGTGAAATGGGATATCTTTGTCTGCACCTCGAAACCGGCGACCTGAGTTCAATTACCGCTCACGGCCGACACCAGTGACGATTGTCTCCATGGGTCCTGGGACTACCGTAGGTCGACTCAGCATCAAATGAGTACCTGGTCTGAGTGTGTAAACATCGCCGGTGCCTGCCACCCACCCCCTCGTGTGCCGTGCCGGCTTTCACAGGTGATATTCGCAAACAGCACTTGCCCCAACATTCTTTCAAGGCTATGCGGTGATGCTTTGTCATTGTATGTGTGTGTCTGAGTGCTGCAAGCGAGGGTCAGCACCGTGCCTGGCCGCCGTTATCTCTCCTGTACACCAGGTACCTATTTTAGACTGAGTCCACCTAGGGATAGCCCGATACGTATTCAAACACCACTTGCATATGAATGGTGTGCATATATTCATTCCAGCCATTCTCAATCTACCGCTGGATGAAGCCCCCCCCCCCCCCCCCCATTATCCCTACGTACATCGGTAATACCTGCAATGTCTACTTACAATGCAAGTGATGTTTCCACATTCCCATGGCGGGGTAGAGTCTATCCAAAGGAAAACCACCCTAGAACTTCCCCACAAAGTGGTACACATTTTATTTACCACCGAGAGATGATGGGCCGAGTCCACCCCCCCCCCCCCCCCATTCTATGGGTGCACGTACACACGATCATCATTGTCATCATCGTCGTCATCGTCGTCGTCGGTCTTGATCTATCCACTGCTGGACTAAAGTCCCTCCCCTACACCGACATTCCTCCAATATAACAATTCACCCATAGTCTGCTCTCTCATCGTATTAAACATGCACATGTCATTATGCTGGTACTGCATTATTATACACGCACACGTGCATGTATAAAGACCTACATGCTCTTAGTATGTACATATCATTATGCACACATTATTATACAGGTATCGTATATACACACACGTGTATGTATATAGGCCTGCATGTTCTTAGTATGTACATTACATAACGTTATGCACGTATTATAATGGTACCATGATATGCACCCATGTATGTATATATGCCTATATGCTCTTAGTATGTACATAGCAGTATGCATGTATTATACAGGTATCATATATCGGCCTAAATGTTATTATTACGTACACAGCATTAAGTACGTATTTTATAAAGGTATATTTAAATACACACGTGGATGTATAATGTGTGTGCGTATATGCCCTTAGTCTGTACATATCATTATGCACATGTCACATGTGCACATGCGATTGTGTATATAATATATACGCATAGCATGTGCAAATCGTTATGCACGTATCATTATACACGCACGTCTATGTGTAAGTGCATATCCACATAGCATTGTCCATACCATTTAGTACTCGTTACAAATGAGCACACATCATTATACACTTAACATTGTGTGTGTACATATCACTTTACACATACAGACGCGTACATGCGTGTTGGCGCAGTGTGGAGCACAGGCGGTCCATCTGCCAGATGACTGGTGGCGAAATGTTAACTCCCTCGCCTGGTATACAGTAGGTCGTGGATTCGAACCCGACCCTGACGCCTGCTGCTGGATATTTGTAGTTTGCGGTGTCTCTCTCGCCGTGGTCGCGTGGATTTTTTTTATCCGGGTCCTCCGGTTTTCCCCCTGCACATTTAGAAACGTGCGTTGAGATTATTTGGCTGCTATGGAATCTCCAAAACGACATAAGCCACTTCGTTGGGCGATCATTTGTGGCCAGGTCGCTTTCTGAAAAAGAGCTCTATATAGCTGGTAAAAAAAAGATTGCATTTTTTTTGGGGGGGGGGGGGTTGGGAGACAAAGGCGGACGGGGGTGGTATAACGGCCGCACCACCGCCTCGCCAAGACGTGCCGGCCTTAACTCGATGCTCTCCAACAGCACTTGCCCAACCGCCCTTGTCTTTGTATGGCTGTGCATGACTCTGCGTGTGTGCGACTCGCTCAACACCACTGGCCCCCCAAACAGGCTACACCGGGGGGGATTTTGTATCTGTCGTCTCGAGTCTGTCTGCTGCCTGCTGCTGCCTGCTGCTGCTGCTTGCTACCTGCTGCAGCTGCCTGCTGCTGCTGCCTGCTGCCTGCTGCAGCTGCTGCTTGCTACCTGCTGCTACTGCCTGCTGCAGCTGGCTGCTTGCTACCTGCTGCTGCTGTCTGCTGCTGCTGCTTGCTGCAGCTGCCTGCTGCCTGCTGCTGCTGCGTTTGGGTTTCGCGTGGGCGTGGCTCCTCCTAGCGGCTCCGCGAGCTCGCGCGCCCGCAGCCACCCCAAGCACCCCCCCCTCCCCCATCTTCCACCACCCCCCTCAAACCCCCCCTCCAACCCCCCTCCCATCTTCCACCACCCCCCCCTCAAACCCCCCTCCCATCTTCCACCACCCCCCATCAAACCCCCCCTCCCCCATCTTCCTCCACCCCACCTCCACCCCCCATCTTCCACCTAACCCCCACCGCCCCCCAGTGTGTGGCACGAGGCAGACCTTGCAGATAGAGACGGGACACGGAGGCTTGGAG